CAGCCCAAGTTTTATTCAGGTACAAGCTCTCCCTCTTCTGCGAGGAGAGATCTGCACATCCCCCCCAATAGCTAGCAATCCAAAACAGTCCAGGGGAGCCTGAGCGGTGGGTGTTGCCTTCTGACACACTTCCGGTGATGTCAGGGGGTGTGGCATATACAAATATGTCATGCTAATAAGCTCCTGCACCTCTTTTTCTACAAAATGACCCCTGGGGCTGGCCATTCCATAGAGCAGAAATGTAGTGGACCAAAACTAGAGGAACCCCCCCCACTTCTGGAAGAAAGTGGGAGGACAGTCAGCCTCCCTCCCCCAGCTGACCCAGAAGCCCCCTAAAGCACCCCCCATGCCCACACCGACCCTGCAGAACCCTGACTCTTATAGAGCCCCCCCCCCCGCACAACCACAATGCACATTCCTTCCCCAGCCCCCACCCAGAAATGCAGCTCAGCACGTAAATTACTTAACTTCTTAATCCCGAGTCAAAGGGGACAATTGAGAACCGGTTGGAGCGGTAGAGCCTCAGTCTCTGCAACCCAACCCACCTGAAAAATCTCTTTTTTTTTCTGGCGGTGGGGGGAGGAGAAGCGGGGGGGAGTCCTGAGAAAACAGCAACCTTGAAGGTTATGGGAATGGGCTTCTGGGTTCTGCTTCAACTGCGGCAGCTGACAGGGTTTTCTTGGGGGCAGAACTACAGTGACCAATGTTCCCTTTAAGCTGTGGAGTCTCGTGAGCAAAAATTCTACTTTGTGAGCTCCTGGCATTAAAGTTGTGAGCAAGCGATTTGGCTCCTGCATAAATTAGTTTGCTTTGGAGTCCTCCTTCCTGAGCTAAGATAAAAATGTCTGAGCCAGAGGCTAAAAAACTGTGAGCTAGCTCACACTAACTCAGCTTAGAGGGAACACTGACAGTGACGGCCAGGGCCTATGGCAGGGGCTTCACTCACTGGCGGGGGAAGTCAAGCCCCATAGAGGAGCAGAGAGATGCTGCAGAAGCCAGGGACCCAGTAGGTGAAGAAGAGAAGAAGAGGAGGTTGGATTTATACCCCGCCCTTCACTTGGAGTCTCAGAGCGGCTGACAAACTCCTTTCCCTCCCCCTCCCCACAACAGACACCCTGTGAGGTAGGTGGGGCTGAGAGAGCTCTTTCGAGGACTGCTCTTGAGAGAACAGCTCTGAGAGAACGATGGCTTGCCCAAGGTCATCCAGCCAGGTGCAAGTGGAGGAGTGGGGAATCAAACCCGGTTCTCCCAGATTAGCGTCCGCGCACTTCACCACTACACCAAACTGTCTCCCCCAGCCCCCCACCATTTACATCCAGCGGAGACTCCTACTCTTCTAGGGCAAAGGGGAGAAAAGGAACCCGGCATCAGCATGGGATTAGAGGCTACAAGGGGGGTGGGCTTCACATGGAAACCGCCCCACCTTCAAACAGAGTCTTCCCCATCTCAGCTCCGACCGGGGGGGGGGGCAGATCCACCTGACCATTCCCTGCCCGAGAGAACTCCGGCAGACACCCTCCAATCCCCTTTACCTGCCCCTTCAACAACCCAGGTCTTCTGTGGGGATGCCGCTGCAGGGGGGGGTCTCTCAAACGCCAGAGCTCCCCAGGGAAGAGCAGAGCGGTACTTAAGGTGGCAGCGGACGGGCACAAGAGAAAGCAGAGCCAGTCCACGCCCAACGGGCAGGCCCTCTGTGCCCTGTAGGAGGTGGCTGTTTTGGACACCTGTTGTGACGGGCAGAAAATTGGCAGGTGCCTCTCAGCCATCCACATCACTGCGTGCCGAAGGATAAACCCTGCCCTGGACGGATCCTCAACTGCCACTTTACTAGTCAAATACCATTTTTTTTAAAAAAATGTAGCAATGCTATAAGAAATTGCAAGCTGTGGAGTCTTGTGAGCAAAAATTCTACTTTGTGAGCTCCTGGCCTTAAAGTTGAGAGCGAGCGATCGGGCCACGGCATAAATTAGCTTGCCCTGGAGCCCTCCTTCCTGAGCGAAGACAAAAAATGTGTGAGCTGGAGGCTAAAACACTGTGAGCTGGCTCACACTAACTCAGCTTAGAGGGAACACTGATGGGGAGGTCTTATTTTCTTCAGCACCGAGTGAAACTTAACTTGAGCTGAACTGTGCCATGCTGGGGGGGCGGGGCGGCAGCCACTGCCATCTGGGAAATGAGATGGCATTAGCTCCCCTGAGCATGCACAGAGCACCCCCTTACCAGCAAGGTTACAAGAACAGGTGTAGCTGATGAAAAAGATGAGACTTGATCAGTGAAGAGCTGGGTTCGAATGCTGACTCAGTCACTCTATTTACTTCATTCATTCCCTGCCATTCCCCCCCCAGCAAATCATTTCCTCCTCCTCCTCCTCTCCATTTTATCCTCACAAGAACCCTGTGAGGTAGTGTCATGATCTGGGCTGTGTAAGTAAAGGCCTAGCAGGCCCAGGGAACCCGAGTAGCAGTGGGAGGAGGCCAGGCCTACAACTCCCAGAACTCCCTGGGAGGTTTTGGTGCCAACTTTAGCCAACCACAGAGAAAGGGGACTTAAAACAAAAGAGCTGGTACAGAAGAAGAGCTGTTCTTCTTCCAAGGCAGCAGAGCCAGAGGGAAGGCTGCTACATGCAAGAGACCCTCATCCTCAGAGGAAGGGTGAGCAATCTGAGGCCCACTTGAGACAGTGAACTAGGGACAGTAATTCTAGACGCGTTGGGGCATTTGGTTTCTTTCCCCTTCATCCACTTATTGTTATTGCTGTTTACCTTTTATTTGTTGTTTACTCTGCCTGGTCCTCACGCCTATTATTCTGCCAAACAAGGGAGGCCTGAAGGTCTCAGGAGGGTGGCTCTGGGCCTTCTCAAGGGATCCTAAAACCAGAGTGGTGGCAGCGTCAGGGGACACCCCCACCTGAGCCGTGACAGGTAGGCTCGGCTGAGCAGGTATCATTAGCCCAAAGTCAGCAAGAAAGCATTCATCGCAGAGTGGGGATTTGAACCCGGGTCCTCCCGGAACCCAGTCCATCACACTCAACACTACTCCAAACTGACCCACAGCACACAATCAGTCTAAGCGACCTCGCAGGGGTGACTGTAATGATAAGAGACTCGGGAACGCATCCCTCATCTACCACTATGGGCTGCTTGGGGAAAAGGGTTCCGACGCAAGGGATAAACCTGGGGGAGCCACCCCCATCCCCCTGGGTGTGGGGCTTCCACGCTAGAGTGAGGAACTGGGACCACATCTGGACACAAGCAAACTTCTTTTAATAAAAGAAAATTCAACACTGGAGAGGACCGTAGCAGTCAGGAAAGCAGGCAGCTGCCAGGAAGGTGTTTGTTTCAAGTGGGGGGGCTTCTTGTCCTTTTCAGCAGCCATTTTCCTCGACTTCCTTTCCGCCGGCCGCTCCGAGCTTGAGAAGGACAGGGTGGTTTTCAGTCCAAAAGAATAAAAACGTGTGGAAAACTTTATTTGTCTCATCGTCCTCGAGATCAGAAACCCTGGTTCTTCCCTCTGCCAAATCCGTCTGGCATCTTTCTCCAGGCCCTGCTTGTCCACATTCAGACAGCCTCCTTTGGGCCCCAATCCACACCCTGTGGCCCCAGGACTGAAGGGAGCCCAGAGTGGATTGTGGGTAGGAGAAGAAGCACTCGTCCAGAAATTAATCCAAATGGGACTCATCCATCAACAGCCAGGATGAAGCAGAGAGCAATAAATACAACATGGGCGTTAGGGTTAGCCAGGTATTTGGAGAGCACAGCCCTTTGCTGGCCCCCCTCCTCCTCATGCCCTACCAGCTCCTCCTTCCTGCTCCACAAAGTCACCAAGATGGCGGCAAGGACAGAGTCGTCCTTCAGAGAGTCCAGCATCATGGCCTGCCTGGCCCCAGGACAGGGTGCACGACGGTGGCCAGCTCCTGCAAGACGGCCCCTCCCTCCTGGCTGTTCCCGGACATCCTCCCTTTCTGGAAACCCAGCGGAGAGTGTCCGTGACTCTCGTCACAACGTGGTGAGCTTCAGGTCGTGGCTGCGGCGGTTGAGCTTGTCCGGGTCGTTGGAGGCCATGAGGGAAAAGTCGTGGAAGATGTCGAGGTAGGTCTCGTCGCCTGGAGGAGGAGCGGCAAAGAGGGTGACCGTCTCCCCCAGTCCCGTGACACCCCACCCCCTTCGACTAAGGCCCCTCCAGAGCCCTAACGGAGCCCCCCACCTGATCACCCACCGCAGGTCTTTGCACTCCCACGTGTCTGCCCTCCTGTTGACAAACCTTGTTATTTGAATCTATCTATAGGGCAGCCTTAATCCAGCTTCAAAATGACCTCCGGGGGGGGGCCATCACCCAGGATTCTGGGAGTAAGCAACCAGAGAGAACCAAGGAAGAAGATGATACAACAACCAAAAATACCGTGGAGAATAACGAGAGCAATCAGGAAACCCCAGAACCAGGGCTTTTTTTGCAGAAAAAGCCCAGCAGGAACTCCTTAGCATAATAGGCCACACCCAATAGCAGAAACTCATTAGCATATTGGGTCACACCCCTGACAGCACCACTCATTAGCATATTAGGCCGCACCCCCATGTTACCAGAAGTGTGGTCATCCAGCCACACCCACCTTTTGCTTCTTATTCTGTTTACCTTGTTTGTTGTCAAAACCCAGGGCCTTTTTTTGTAGCAGGAACTTCTTTGCATGTTAGGCCACCCACCCCTAATGTAGCTAATGAGTTTCTGCCGTTGGGTGTGGCCTATTATGCTAATGAGTTCCTGCTGGGCGTGGCCAACTCAGGAGCCAGCCAGAACTCCGTTCCTGTGCGTTCCTGCCCAAGAATAGCCCTGCCCAGAACTCATCTTATTAAATGTATGGGAAGACCAGAAGGTTCCCAGGCACAAACAAGATCGAATGATGATCTTACTCGCCGTGGCAAAACCTGTGATGGCCATGAAGTGGAAGGAAAGGGATCCCCCAACTGTGCATCAACGGTATTTAAAAACATGGGATTATTTCATTCTCGATAAAAGCACAGATACTATCAAAAGGAAAGCAGATCCAGATTGCCAATCCGGTTTACTTACAAAAAAATGGTCTCCATTTACAGATTTTAAATTTCAGAATATTGAAGCTGTTGGTATTACCTTACGACATTAGTTGCATTACACTGACTAAATGTTGAGATTATTTTGTGTATAAAATAGTTTTGCTTCCGCGTTAAATAGTGATCTTAGTGTTATCCTTAGTATTTGGCTTTTTCTTTACATATGTTTATATGGAGGTCTGCTTTTCTCCCTCCATTTGTTGCGTGCAAGGGAGACGGATATATGCCAGATGTTATACTTGTTGCTGCAGTACCCCTGTATAATGGATAGTGGTTTTCAGACTGCTATTTCATATGTCAAGTTTATATGTCAAGTTTGCTTTTCCCCACTGTTCTGTATTGATTGGTTTCTTAATAAAGATTATAAAACTTAAAAAAAAGACAACGAAAGCAAGTAGGCAGTGTGTGTGCGTGTGTAAGTGAAAATGCATTAACAAAAGTGGTGACTTTATTATGGTTAAGGCATTTTCATTTACACGCGCACAGACATATATATTTTGCCTCCTTGTTTTTGTTATTCTCTAGGGTATTTTTGTTTGTTGCAGGACTCTGGGAGGACAGACATAAAAAACAGATCTGGCTCAACACCGACACTCGTTTTTAGCATAGTTGTGCCCAAGGGTGTAGAATGCCGTCCTGAGAAAGGGATCTTCTCAGTGGTGGCACCAAAAGTTTTGAACTCCCTCCCCAGGGAGATTCACCTCTCTCCCTCTATCGGTGGGCTTCTGCCAGCGAGTGAAGCCATTTCTGTTTCATTTGGGGCACCCCCAACCCTTCATAAATGGTCATCGGTCCTCCTCCCTGGTTTTGGCGCTGTTTGTCATGTATTTTTATTGAATTATTTCAACATTTCAAATGTTGTTTCTGATGGTTTTAATGTTTTAGAGGGGGCCGCCCTGGGGACCCTGGCTGTAGGCGGAAAAGCAGCATAGAAATGTTTTAAATAAGACCGCCAAATAAATGAATCCCTCACTGAAAAGTACACTTCCATTGTCCCCATTTTACTGAAGGGGAAAACGGAGGCCAAGGCATTTCCCAGTCCCTGCAGGTACTCACCCCCGGGGTCCAGGGGGCGGAGATTTTGCACACACGTTTGATCCAGTCGCAGGGAGAGCTGAGCCTTGAGAGGGAGTCCCTTGCTCCCCCCCCAGAATACCACCCCCTCCTACATCCCACCCCCCATGCAGGTGACACTCACCTGACTGTCCCTGGGCCATCTCTACCTCACGCATCTTGGCCAAGCGGAGTCTTTGAGGCGCAGGAAGGGGGACCGGGGAGAGAAGAGGAAGCAGCCATGGAACAAAAGGTATGGACCCCCAAACCCCCCACCTTCAACCCGACCACTTCTCCTCCCCCTCCCCCAAGCCCCCTTGTTACCCCTCCCACCCATTCAGAAGAAGAAGAGGAGGAGGAGGAGAATGGATTTATACCCCGCCCTTCACTTGGAGTCTCAGAGCAGCTTACAAACTCCTTTCCCCTCCCCTCCCCACAACAGACACCCTGGGAGGCCGGTGGGGCTGAGAGAGTTCTGAGAGCAACTGCTCTGTTTTCACGAACAGCTCTGCCAGAACTATGGCTTGCCCAAGGTCATCCAGCAGCTGCACGTGGAGGAGTGGGGAATCAAACCCGGTTTTCCCAGATTAGAAGAGGGCTCAAGTCATGGGGGGGGGACCCACTGGTACTTTGAAGTTCTTGCACTCGGTTTGGGGTAGGCTGGATGGCCTTTTCCTGCCCCCTTCCCCCAGTTTTATGATCCTGTGCGCTTCCGTATCTCCCCACCCTAGATTGGATCAGGGCCCTGCGGGATCTCACTCAGTTCCGCAGGGCCTACAAGACGGGGCTGATCCGAAAGGCTTTTGGCGGAGGCAGTGGGCACCCACGTATGGCCTCCCCCAAAGCTGCTCTCTCTCTTATGTTCTTATGTTCTTACCTACCGGCCACCCATCTCCCAGCAACTGGCCCATATCCATCAGTATGAAGGGGTCGGGATTTGCACCAGCAGCTACAACTACTGATTTTAAATGTTTATCATGTAAATGTTTTATTGTGTTTCAAAACCTCACTGCATTGTTTGAGATGATGTGACCCGCCCTGAGCCCGCTCGCGGGGTGGGCGGGACACAAATACAAAAAAATAAATTAAATTAATTTAAAAAATTAGAGCACGGGAGAAATGCTTAGGGGCAGACGATATTCTGCACTGTATCCACTGCCTTCCCACTTCAGACTGGGACATAAAGATGCAGGGGTCTCCGTTCCGGCTTGTACCTGAGGAAGGGAACTTTGACTCTCGAAAGCTAACCCCGCAAAAAAATCTTGTTGGTTTCTAAGGCGCCCCTGGACTTGAACTTGGCTCTGTTGCTGAAAACAGAGCTCCTCTCTGAAACTGTCTCCCCTGGGGAAAGGGAAGGCTCCCCCCAGGACTTTGGGGTGCCCAGGAGTGGATAGTAAGAAGGAGGGGAAGAGGAATACCCTCTCTTACAAAGTTACGATGTCTGCGTTGGTTGAATCCATGGCGATGGAGAGCGGGTCTTTTCCTTCCTCGTCCACCGCGTTCATGTTGGCGCCCCGTTTGAGGAACAGGCAGGCCAGCCTGGCCGTGGGGAGAGAAAGGGGCACTTAGCAGCTGCTTTCAGAGAAATGCAGAAACCCGCTCCTGGAAAGAGCCTCGCGCTCCTTATCTGTGCGATGTTTACAACAGCCCTGCCAGGCAGGATTAGTGTCGCTGCCTCTGTTTGGTCAGTGAGGGGAGGGGCTTGCAGAGGCGAGATTCCTGGTGCACAGCTCCATCCTTTGGACTCGAAAGAACGGGTTTAAATTCAGGGCGGGAAGGTACCAGCGGGCAGTGTTCCTGCTAAGCTGAGTTAGTGTGAGCTAGCTCTCAGTTTTTTAGCCTCTGGCTCACACATTTTTGCCTTAGCTCAGGAAGGAGGGTTCCAGAGCAAACTAATTTATGCAGCAGCCCAATCGCTTGCTCACAACTTTAATGCCAGCAGCTCACAACGTAGAATTTTGGCTCACAAGACTCCACAGCTTAGAGGGACCATTGCCGGCTGGATATTAGGAAAATATTTTTGACAGAGTTGTGCAAGAGTGGAATCGGTTGCCTGGGGAGGTGGTGAGATCCCCCTCAGTGGCAGTCTTGAAGCAGCGGCTGGACAAACACTTGCTGATCCTGCACTGAGCAGGGGGTCGGACTAGATGCCCTCTATGGTCTTCCCAACTTTGTGTGATTCCCGGATTCTATTCTAAGGGCTCTCAGCCCAGGCGCCAAACCTCAGCCTAGCCTACCTCACAGGACTGTTGTGAGGAGAACACGGAGAAAGGAGGAGGTCGCTTGAAGCATCTGCAGGGCTGCCACTACAATTTTATTTCCCATTTCCCTGACTTTCCAGAAAGCGGCAGCTCTGTTCTCAGGGGAAGTGCAGAACAGGAAATCGAATTAAACCAACTACACTAGCAGCTGGGTCACACCGACTGAAAATCGACCTCCAAGACTGAAGTTCCTCTCGCTTCCCGCTCCTCCTCCGCCAGTTAGCTAAAATACAAAAGGACCCCAGGGCTTTCTGCCAGCCATCCTGATTAGCACACAGGGGCTCAGGTCTTGCAAAGAGCTTTGCTTTGCTCGGGCAACTCAGTTTCTGCAAGGCTGCACCAAGAAAGAGAAGGCTTAGTGGGGACATGATTGCAGTCTTCAAGTATCTGAAGGGCTGTCATGTAGAAGATGGAGCGAATCTATTCTCTCTTGCTCCGGATTGCAAGATTAGATCTAAAGGGTGGAAGTTACAAGGGAGTCGTTACCGGCTAAATATCAAGAGAGACTTCCTAACTGTCAGAGTGGTTGAGCAGTGGAACAGACTGCCTTGGGAGGTGGTGGACGCTCCTCCGCTTGACGTTTTGAAGTTGAGGCAGGACGACCACCTTTCGGGTATGTTGTAGGTATGTAGGGCTGTCTTTCAGCTATGCTCCTGCAGAGTGCAGGGGGTTGGACTAGATGACCTGTAAGGTCCCTTCCAACATCCTATGATTCTACGATTCAAAGGGCAGCTGGCTATCCAGGAGCAGACCCAACAAAGAAAACAAGCCCAACCAACAAATCAGAACCCAGCTCAAATGAGCCTTATTCCACACGGCCAATTTTATATCCGCCCTACCCCAAATGGCCCAGGCTGGCCCGGTCTCACTAGATCTCAGAAGCTAAGCAGGGTCGGGCCCGGTTGGTACTCAGATGGGAGACTGCCAAGGAAGTCCAGGGTGGCTACGCAGAGGCAGGCAAGGGCCAGCCCCCTCTGAACGTCTCTCGCCTCGAAAACCCAACGGGGCCTCCGTAAGTCGGCTGCGACTTGACGACAGTTCCCACCACCGATTTTACACTTGCGTTTATCCGCCTTGACGGTGAGAGCTAAAACAGACCTGTATCCAAGAACGGACGTACCCCGTGTGACCCAAGAGGGTGGCGTGGTGGAGGGGCCCCCGGCCCTTGCTGTCCGCCTGGTTGACGCTGGCTCCGTTCTGCAGCAAGAATTCACAGGCCAAAAGGGAATTCTGGGGGAGAAGAGAGTTTTTTAAAAAGAAGGATGTTTGAGAGAGTTTGAAGCCACCAGCAGCTTCTGTCTCTCACCCCCCCCCCCGGTCATGTTAAACCAGCAGACTCACTGCGGCTACCGCCTGTAGCAGAGGCGTGCGGCTCTCGTGAGCCACGTTGACCCAGTTGACGTCAGCGCCGTGGGCCAGGGCATCTGCCATCGTGGGCAAGCTGGGGGGCGCGGCGGCTGCACGGTACAGCAGGGGTCCCGGGTGCAAACTGTGGAGGTCTTCTCCCGATGCAACGCTCTCCCGTGGCCCTTAAAGACAAGCGAGAGTCAAACTAGGTGGACAAAGGCCACGAGAATACATCTACACTCTGGGCAGCCTTTCGCCATGAAATCCGGCCTCTGATCTGGCAACCCAGGCTCAAAGGACCTGTCCCTCCACATGCTCCCAAGAAGGAAAGGCACCCCAAGAAAATGACATACCTGCTAAAGGAGACACATTGCATGGACTGCTGCCTGTACGAAAGAAGAACATAAGGAGAGCCCTGAAGGACTGGGAAAAGGTCGTGGCTCAGTGGTAGAGCATCTGCTTGGCATGCAGAAGGTCCCAGGTTCTATCCCCGGAATCTCCAGTTGAAAAGGACCAGGAAAGAGGTTTTGTGAAAGACCTCAGCCTGAGACCCTGGACAGCAGCTGCCGGTCAGAGTAGACAATACTGACTCTGATGGGCCCAAGGACCTGACTCAAGGCTTCATTAGGGAGGGGCTGTGGCTCAGTGGCAGAGCCTCTGCCTGGCATGCAGAAGGCCCCAGGTTCCATCCCCGGCATCTCCAGTTAAAAAGGACCAGGCAGTAGGGGATGTGAAAGACCACATCCTGAGACCCTGGAGAGCGGCTGCCAGCCTGAGTGGGCAATACTGATTTGGATGGACTGATGGTCTGATTCAGTAGAAGGCAGCTTCACACATCTGTGTGTTCATCAGACCAAACGCCCACCTCCAGAAAGCCCACAGCCTGCCCCCTTGCTAGTATTTTGTATTCTGCGGTATACTGTCCCTGAACAGGGAGGCTCTATTCAGTTTTCATGGCTATCAGCCCTAGTTACTGGACAGACTTTCCAACCCACTTTTCAAACTCTCTGATCATGAGGCTGTTGCCAAAATCATGCGAGAGCCAGCCTGGTGTCATGGTTAAGTGCGCGGACTCTAATCTGGGAGAACCGGGTTTGATTCCCCACTCCTTCGCTTGCACCTGGCTGGAGGACCTTGGGCAAGCCATAGTTCTGATAAGAGCTGTTCTCGAAAAAAGAGCAGTTTCTGCCAGAGCTCTCTCAGCCCCACCGACCTCACAGGGTGTCTGTTGTGGGGAGGGGGAGGGAAAGGAGTTTGTAAGCCGCTCTGAGACTCCTTCGGGTAGTGAAGGATGGGATATAAATCCAAGCTCTTCTTCTTCTTCTCTTTCTTCTACTTTCCTCCCCACTAATTCTTCCCGATACCTTCTATGCCTTCGGGGAAAAACTAGAGGTTCTCACCGTACCTGCACTTCCCCGAGCCAGACGTGGAGGTTTCGGTTTGAGGAATGGTTTGGGGGGCTTCTCGGGCCCGCGCCCATCTCCACCCCGACTCAGCCGCCCCCGAACCTCAGGGAACTTGGTGATGAATTTCTTTTCCACATACTTGGCCCTGATCCAGGCCTCTTTGTCTGACCTGGGAAGGGAGAGGCACAAAAGCAAATACGTTTTTATACAAAGGTGAATTCTGCACATGCTCGGAGGCACTCTGCTGCAACTTCACATGGATCAGGATTGAATTCTGGCACTGGTAAAGAGAGAAGAGCCTCAGTACTGTATACAGACACTCCCCCCCCAGTAGGTAGAATGGAAAGGGGAATTGCACAGGTGATGTGAGTGTGTCTCACAGGGTCCATCTAGAGGCTTGGACAGGCAACTGCAGCCCAGCACAACCTACTGGACAGGTGTGAGAACTACACTTCCCTCATGCATCTAACAAAAAGAGCAGACTTTCACGTTATGCTGGCACACAAAACTCTCCTCTGCTGGATGGGGTGGAAAGATTTTGGGGGACTTTTGGGGAAAGAGCTCCTCACCGACAAGCACCAGACTGGGGGCGTTTGATGTTCATCTCCTCAACCCGTGCTTCGTAGATCTGGTTGATGACGCGATTTCCCAGTTCACACATCAGCTGCAACAGAGGGGGGAGGGGAGAGAGAGTTTTAGCATTACCATCCTCAAACTTCCATGCCTCCACACACATCTGCATGAATTCCGGGGGGACGGGGGACGGAACATGGAACACTTATGATAGCCCCTCCTTCCAAACCATTACTACGAATAATAGTCAATAGTCTAAATTCCCACCATAATTCCCATTTTTCAGATTTATTTATTTACTTTAATTATATCCCACCTTTCTTCCCCGTGAGGACCCAAAGCGGCTCACATTGTTCTCCTTTCTTTTTTTTTTCTTTTTTTCCCTTTTTTTTTTTTTTACTTTCCATTTATTAATCGCTTTCCCCAGTGGGCTCAAAGCGATGTACAGTTACTCAAATATAGACAAGGGACTAACAATGTTTGTAGGGGATAGGGAAGACAACATATATATT